TTGACTCTGGAGCAAAGTGTAGTCCCTGGCATGCGAGGGTGTGTCTCGGTGCTCGCAGAACTCACAGAACTGCGTGCAGAGAAATTCATGGCACCGTACGCTCATTTTAATGCCCACGCTGGCTGATACAGCCCTGCGTGCTCAAGTCGGCCGCTCTCAAAGATACTGTTTAAACAGCAAATGTTTTATTTGTGTGTTCATTACAGCTTATACTAGACTTACAGCACACATGATACTAGATGCTGCTATCAGCCTGCGAGTACAACTACGAGTAAATGAGCATGGCATCAAACTAACACCAATATCGCTATCAATGTATTCCATAGTCATCACCTCGGGGTGCATTGTCTGCATTAAATAATCTACCTGTTACGCAGAAAGAAACAAAAACAACAACAAAACAGACACTGTAGTGTTGACTTACAGAGCAGAAATACTGAAGCGAAATGCTGATCAACGTGTCCCCCTCTTTAACATCCCTCATCACATAGACAATGTCATCCTTTCGCTCTCTGGAGGTACTGCGCCGGAGCCTCTCCCTGCCTCTGGAGCGGAGTTCATAGCTTTCGCCATCCTCCTCAGAGCACTCCGTCTCTGAATTGTTCGCAAAGATGTAAGTGTGACCCCCAGTTGCAGGCTGCATCGTCGTAGCTGACTGGAAGCCATTATATTGGTTTCTTCCAGTCATTTTCTCCCTGTTTGCAAAAACATACAATGGATCAAGGACCACACACACACACACACATTCACATAATTGAGACAATGATCAAATAGCATATATTAAGTTATACCGCAGCACTGTTTAATTGTGCAAGCTGACTAGTCAGAAGGTGTTGATTTATTTTCTACAACAGCTGCTCTGACAGTAGTACCAGCTGTAATTCCAATCACAAGTCTATATTAATGTACTTGTTCTAGTATGTTACCGTTTCTTTCTATCATTTCTACTGGTTTCTTTGTAGCATAATACGCTGTGGGTTTTGTTGTTGTTGTTGTTTTATTAACTAAAAAATAGAGGTTGGTGAGGGAACGACTGTTTCAGTTTCTATTACATAACAGTAACTAATTTGTTTCACAAGTTCCACAAAGTTCCTCAACAACAGAGGTAACTATAAATGGATAAACAGTATAATGTGGTGGTGTTAAATAAATACACAAATGTAAGCATTGACTAATTTGTGTGGTATAAGCCAAATAAACAATTGTTATTGGAAAATAATCAACACGCCACCCTGCTGTTGATTATTTTCCTATAAGAGCATGTCCTGAAGTGTTTTATTCCTTACTTAATAGTTATAAAAAATAAAAATAAAAAAAAAAAGAAACTGACATCAGTTCAAAACTTTGCATCTCTCTTTTCTAAATGTGTTAGAACTGTCCTTTGATCATTCTAATAATCTTAACTACCTTCATCCACTGAGCAGCTTTTGGATTCTCTCAGCTGTGATATTTATCACCTCGGTCTTCCTGACTTATCTGTTCGAACTCTGACAGATTGCTTAGCCAAAGTTGGCCAAATGTTCTTCTTCACATTTGCTATAAGCAGATCTAAAGTAAACATGGAGAGAGTTTTTTTTTTTGTTACACAACCCAAAGTTGTCATAGAATATTTAATAATCTACCAAATAGCAGGAAATGACCAGCTGTTCTTTTACTTTACCTTCTCTCTCTCGCTGTACACTAACCTTAAACTTTCTAACTAAAAACGTGAACAAATTTTGAAATGGGAAAAAATATACTTAGTCATGCACTCCATTCTTCAACCCGTGGACATGGAGTGCTTCATGCCAAATCTTTGACTTCTCTTTTCAGACAGTTTTTCAGTTCACTGTGCCGTATGTTTTGGTTATCTTGTTACAGAATACGCCCACATGTCTTAGCCAAGAAAACATAGGAAATGCAAACCTTTGCACTTGGCCGTGCAAGAGAGGATTTCTCACCAGGTTCATTCCAGATCTGTGGGTTTTTAGGTTTCAGTTCATATATATAATAACTCACATCTTCTAAGAGTTTGAACATGGTAAAACATAACATTTGCTTTTTTATCTCTTTGAGTGTTTAGCAAGAGCAGCTAATAATAATAATAATAATAATAATAATAATAATAATAATAGTAATACTACTACTACTACTACTACTAATAATAATAATAGGTAAGGACTAACACGTGTCAAGGAATGCTGTTACAGGAAAATAATCCACAATGATTTGGTGTGATATGGCCTGATATTTCTCAAAGTAATTACACCAAAGCAATTTGTCAAACAATTATATTTACACAAAATTTAGTAATGAATGACAAGCCATGCTTTTTAACTGTTTATAGTTACATTACTGTTGTGGAATATCTGTGAGACAAGATTAGGTTATTGTTATCATTTATGTTAATGCAGTGATTGTGTGATTTGAATCACTACTGTCAGAGCTGTGCTGTTACAGAAAATGAATCAACGCCTTCACACCAATCTGAATCAAGACTTTAACAAGGCTGTGGTATACAAATTAATACCAAATAGGTAGCACTGCTTTATTTTAAAGATCTCATACCCATAATGTAAGAAGGGTCAAACAGTGTTTATTAAGCGAGTAATACTAAAAAAATAAAAATGATATTTACTCCCTTTGTAAATATGTTATATATTATAAACACTCTCTAATGACTTGTAAACTTACATTTTATCTTAATTGCCTTGATCCACTGAACAGCTGAAACACTGATCAGCTCAGTCTTCCTGATGTAGCTGCTCTAGCTCTGCCAGAGTGCTTGACCAAAACTTAAAGTGTTCTTCACATATTTATTTATCACACATGTCAGGTTATACATGTCAAAAAGAAAAAGGCAGTTCTGGAGGAAAATATACAGGGATTAATAAGAGAGAATGTAAATTTCAGCCCAGTGGAGTCCTTGCTTAAATTCAGTGTGGCGTCATAACGCCTGCTGACGTCGTTAAGAGCTAAACTCATGTTTAAAACAAAACCCCACGTAATACCCGTGATGCTCTAAAACAAACCGGAAACAGTCCACCGCGATTCAATTCGCTCATGTTTGCGAACGAAATCTAGGCAAATCAGGTCTCATGAACGGCACATTTGGTTCTACAGCTCTCCAGGCCCTCAAACCTGCTTAACCCAGCAATCAGCAACCCTGTTACTGTAATTACATTTACATACAGATTAACACACAAGACAAATATCTAGCCACACACTAGCCACTGCACTTTGCTGCTAAACTCACTAATCCCGTCATCCAAGTTTACTCTAGCTACACAGCCCCATATCCCTAGCTAGCATTGTTAGCGTTAGGTTATTCAGCTTAGTTTACTCACCATCAGAACATTTCAACAGTAAAAACCCTAATATACACAAACAGCTGCTGTGAAACATACAAACAAACAAACTGGTACCTGATACAGTCAGATGAATTCACCGGTTTTTAGCTAAGCCATTCTTCTCGTTAGTCAGAGCGCCGAGTGTGCGTTTGTTTAGCCGACTAGCTTTCTACGCCACGTCAACACAATCCCAGCGTCATGACGTATGGAGCAGTGGGCGGGGCCGAGGACAAGCTGCAGGTCAGAGAGGACAAAGAATATACCTACAGGGCCTGTCGTGAATGAATCTGGAGGTGCATAAGGAAACATACCAAATAAAATAACTGTGTGATCTTGGGTGGATGCCACACAGTGGTAGAAGTAGTGGTGATGGTGAGAATTAGTTATTTAGCCTAATCTACTAAGACATGACAACCGATCTTGCCATCTTAATAACGTTGCCATAAAATACCTTTATGCCACTTCACCTAAAAAAAAAAAAAAAAAAAAAAGTAAAACGACATACTAGTAGATGATGCAAGGGAAATGACATTTTATCTCATAAAAACAGACGTACCCTTCATTTTCTCCTCCATCCAGTACTTAATCTGCTCTCAGCTGGAGTTCTCTGAGCTCAGAGTGCATCTAGCTGATTAGTAGCTTTCAAACAGAGACAGGGAAAATGCATGATTCTGATTGGTTAATCCTGTTTCTCACCATGGCAGCTGGCAGCTAATAAAATGTGACAGATAAATAAGTAAGAAAACTAATAATAATAATAATAATAATAATAATAACAATAATAATAACGTCTTATTTCTGACATTTTAGTTCCAACAGTGCTTCCATAAAACTAGTTTTAAAAAAAAGAAAGAATAACTCAAATGATTATCAGTAACACCAAACAGTTAACGTTTGGGGAGGTTAAATAGGTTATGGAATCATAATGATGACCTCTTTTAACCTTTCATTGACATCATTATAGCAATACTGTAGATGTTATCCATCCATCCGTCCATCCATTCTCTGTGCCGCTTATCCTACACAGGGTTGTGGGGAGCCTGGAGCCTATCCCAGGGGACTCGGGGCACGCGGTGTGGGACACCCGGGATGGGGTGCCAGTCCATCGCAGGGCACAAGCGCACACCCATTCACACACTACAGACAATTTAGCACTGCCGTTCAGCCTACAACACATGTCTTTGGATTGGGGAGGAAACTGGAGTACGCGGAGGAAACCCCCGAAGCACTGGGAGAACATGTGCATGTTATTTGTTATGCAATGTTATCTGACTGTCAGCTATGTTTGTTGTGTTATCTGCCCACAAGAAAACCTTATTAAAATCTTGATTAAGATCAGGAATGCATACAATTCTTACAAATCTGGATATGAAGTACTTCTCACCTGCAGAGGAATGACAGTATGCGTTTTATTCAGCTGTAATGAAGGAATTTTCCACTAGGGGGAGGTATTGGCACACGCTACCATATACACGTGGGTCCTCTGGATTTTAGATTACAGACAGAATACAGTAAATCCTAGATAAGATAAAATAACACTTCATTCATCCCAATTGAAAATGAGATTGAAAATAAAAGGCAAGGCATAAATGTACATAAGAAATAAAGTAAGAATAAAATAAAGTAAAATAAATATTGAAAATATTTTAATAATTTTAATAATATTGTAGGGGCAGTCGTAGCTCAGTGGTTAAGATGTTGGACTACTGATTGGAAGGTCATGAGTTCAACTGCCAAGCTGCCACCGCTGGGCCCTTGAGCAAGGCCCTTAACCCTCAACTGCTCAGTTGTATAAATGAGATAAATGTAAGCCGCTCTGGATAAGGGCGTCTGCCAAATGCCATAAGTGTAAATGCCATAAATACCATGACTGAGGTGAGACCCTTGAGCAAGGCACTGATCCCCCAACTGCTCCCCGGGCGCTGCAGCAAAAAAAGGCTGCCCACTGCTCCGGGTGTGTGTTCACTACTGTGTGTGTGCACTTGGATGGGTTAAATGCAGAGCGCAAATTCCGAGTATGGGTCACCATACTTGGCAAAAAGTCACTTCACTTCAACCCTGGCCCTGGAGTACCCCCTGTCCTGCACATTTTAGTATTTTCTCTGCTTGAACACACATCTAATTCTACTAATCTGCTAATGAACAGCCCTTCCTGAGTTGAATTGGGTGTGTTAGAGTAGGAAAACACTGAAATGTCCAGGAAGAAGGTGGATTGGAACCTGTGATTTAGAGTAGCCAATCCACTTTCTGACATGTTTTCTTGAGATGGGGAGAAAACCAGAGAACCCAGAGAAAACCCACACAGACACCACACGGACACCACACGGACACTCAGACAGTAACCTGAGATCAGGTTTTATGATTAGGAAAATCTGTAGGCCTATAATTAACAACAACAACAACACAACACTGCTGGGCAAAACGAATGGGCCCAAAATGGCAAAATATTAAGCTTTTAATGGTCTTAACAACAAATCATTGTTCAGAAAATTAGCAAGAATTAAACAAATGCACTCTTGAGAGCTCCTGTGCCACCATTTTCTTGTCTACTTTTGCATCACTGACCTGTTTTAGGAAAAGCAGAAAAACAGGGAAATTCACTTATATTGTCTTCTTGTACACAAAGGTAAAATCATGATAATGATTAAATGTTTTGATGTAAAATTTAAAAACTAACTAATGTCTGGGTGTAGATTTGGAAATGTTCCAAAAATATCTTCGGGGATTTTTTTTTTCCTTAAAAGATTAGTCATTATTTGGTTATCTGCCACACCTGATGCAGCCCATCAAGGGCCACAAGTCTTAAACATTTAAAGAAATCAAAGGGAAAAGCTATTCCATGTTATCTCTGTTTTTATTATTATTATTATTATTAGTAGTAGTAGTAGTAGTAGTAGTAGTAGTAGTATATTCCTGGGCTAAATAAATAAGGGCCAAACCTGATGTAGCCCATCAGCCCACCTAACTTTCTTTATCTATTTGTTTCATTGTTGCTAATTTTCTGAAGAATGATTTCTTGTTAAGACCATTAAAAGCTTAATATTTTGCCAGTTTTGGGCTAGGCCCTCTTTAATCATTTTTTATTTTATGTTATTTATTTATTTTGCCCAGGAGTATACTACTAATATTACTACTACTACTACTACTACTACTAATAATAATAATAATAATAATAATAATAATAATAATAATAATGTCTTATTTGTGACATTTTGGTCCCAACAGTGCTTCCAGGTATTCTTTAAAAATAAAGAATACTTCAGATGACGGTCAGTACCACCAGACAGTTAAGGTTTGATGATAAGGATGAGTTTGCGCATTGTGCACTCTGGACAGAAAGCTTCACGCACTCTGGCTGAAAGGGGAAAGTGCGCTCACAGCAATCTGTCGGCAAAGTTTTGAGCTAAAAATGTCCCGTTTCGGGAGTGGTGCACCACAATTTACTGTCTCTTCCCAAACCCTGGGCTGAGTGGGACGCGTCGCTGGGTGGAGCTGTAGCTGTTTGTAGCTGTTTGGTGCTAATGCGATTAGCACGTCTCCGAGTGTGAGCAGACTGCGCTGCTGAAGTGCGCTCCGAGTTCAGTCCGGAGACGCGGCATGGCAGCGCGGCTCCCACCACCATCCACCCGACATTTACACACACGATCGACACACACACACACACACACTGCCAAGTATCCTTCCTACTCTCTGTCTTATTTGGACTGGATGAAACTTGGCTTCGTTTTTCTTTTTTTTTTCTGCCTGGACACAGCACACGCGTTTGGCTGAAGCGCAGTGAGAATGCGCGGATGATCCGTGAGCTCACGCGCACACGGACACGCGCTTGTTTTGGTGTGAAGACCCCCATGCACGCTTAACTCCTCCACATCCTCTGCTCTTCACCTCGGATCGTTAGTGCAAGGTATTAGGTGAGTACCCACAATTCATCATCTTACGATAGCTGGATGCTGAACAGGTGTTTGAAGAGGAATGCACTTTAAGAGCAGCGCGTCATGACACTATTACTGTTTCCGTACCCATGTGCAACACGTAGTAAAGCCTCTGAGCTCAGCCTCTGCGCCCTGTCTGAACACACAACAGACTGGTTGCATTATTATCACCTAATGCTGCATTGCATTGCATTATTCTAATGCTCTCAATGCCATAAGCTGCAGTTTACACAGTGCATGCAGTTGCATAATAAACAATAGTAGATGCACGTGATTGTCTCATGTGCATAACATGCATCTTTCTTTCTTTAAAGCATCATATTAAATGAACTCCTACAGTAGATGTATATAAACAGGTGTATCCTTGGCGATCAGTGTAACTTTGGGTCACCCATGGCGAGGCGCGTGAACCGGAGGAATATAATAATATTGGTGATGGAGGGCCATCTGATTGGCGTTTCCATGGTTACTCGGCGGCGCCCTTGCAGGGACGGTGCGCTTTGTGCGTCTCTCCCCCGCGCGCCCATTCAACTAAAACAACAGGGAACCTCCTTTAAAAACACTCAATTGTCACACCATAAACCGTTTAGGTCATGTTCAGGCGTTTTGATTTACACTCATGGAAGAGTTTTAGCTGTTGCATCCACTGAGTGACTTTCTGAACACGCACCTGTTTTCCACACAGGGTTTGAGGCGGCTTCTCTTTGTCCCGTTTCCTCCATTTTAGAGTGATTTAGGCGCTAGTGTAATCCTAATAGCTGCGCGCGGGGGCAGGACTCGGGGTCATAGGTCACACTGGTTCCTTATCACAGTTTTTTTTTTTGTTGTTGTTGTTTTGTTAGCCTGGTTATTTAAGACCAGTTACAGATTACTTTCCTGTTTTTTTGACAGAAATGTCTGGTTGTGTTTACTCTTTTCTTTCACTTTTCTTTCTTAAAGACAGCCTCTGTTTTTTTTTAAAGCCTTGTTAGATCATATTTTGCACCAATCATGAACACTTTTACAATTCTTGTTTCCGTTCACAATCCTCCATTACTATTAATGGCTTGCCTGCCTCTACACACTCCTTACATCACCAAGACAGGGAGAAGAAAAAAAAGAACTAATAATGTCATGATTCACCTGCCTATCCCCTGTCCTCCAGTTACTGTATCATCACTAACAATCTGAATCTGTTTTACTTTGTTTACTGTTTCTTTAAAAGTTGTTAGTGTGTGGAGATTGCGTGTGGAGATTGGAGTCTTTACTGCTGTGATCATAAAAACTGTCCTGTGCTCATCCCAGGAGTCCTATTGACAACATGCTCATACTGAATGTCCTTTCAACACATTTGTTTGACAGTTTTATTTAAAAAAAAACTGAGTAATAATTTATAATCCCATTATCTGATGTCGCTCAGAAGAACCCTTTTGAGTTTGGGTGCCCGCAAGGTTTTCGTCCTCCCTTCATCTAAGGGTTTTTCGTTGCCACTGTTGCCTCTGGTTTTCTCATTAGGGATCTACATCTACATCCAGATTCCTGTAAAGCTACTTTGTGGCATTGTCTATTATTAAAAGTCCTATACATATCAAATTGATGTGACTCTTTGCTAACTACATGTCTCAAATCATTTACCCAACATGATGAAGCTATTGCAACATACTGTATATAGGTAGGCCTCCCGTACAATGTTTAGTATATCTGTGATAGTTGTTTACGACAGTGGAGTAAGTAGAGGACCTGGCTTGAAGAATTAAAAAAAAAAGACCTAATACCAATACATATTAAACTACAATGCTTCTTGAAGGACATAGTAAGCTTATGTTCATTAGCTAATATATTCAGTCCATGTAGTTTATTCAGTTTGTTTAGAGTCTGCAGTGGTGTTGTTACTAGCAGGCGGCATGGGTTGTGAGATACAAGGACACCTAAGTGGTCAGCTTTATTTTCTCAAAACCTAAGGCTTTAGCTTTTAGGTTTTCAGAAAGTCATGAGTTCAAAGCAAGACCTGTAACCCTCTACTCAACAATTGTGTCTTGTCTCCATTGTAAGTCACTAAGTCATCAGCCAGTTATGGAAATGTAACGTGGTCAGCTTTATTTATTAGCTTTTAACAAGAGGTTGGCATCACAGCTCCATCATGAGTTGAAACAAATGACTTAATGTTAGCGAAGTTAAATTTATTAGCAATACCATTGTGCTAGCTTGTTACCTACTGTTGTCATTGGTTGTGATCATGTGCTTCTTGTATGTATATACTGTATGTGTATATTATTTATTACTGTACTAAATAACTACACACTATTTCTCGGTTTGTCTTGAGCCATTGAGTTACACTTTTGTGCTATAGCCAGAGTGTGACACGCCATAAACAGCACCCCCATTGATGAGGTGCTAAGACTCTGATTGATGTTTGTGGGACATAAACAGACCACACAAGGGCCACACATGATGGAAGAGCAGCAGGTGTACTGAAACAAAAGAAAGTGCTGTCTACACAGCACAGTAGCACAGGCTAAGCTAATGGCTCCTCTTCGCTCGCTGTGAAGTAGACCGTTTGGGCCGTCTTTTACCCAGGCTAGTGTAAGATCCAGCAATGAGGACCAACAGAAATTTCTTTAAGATGTCTTACCTATTCACCAAGCTGACTTTCTATCTCCTCACCACCTTCAATATCCTTTCGTACATCAACTACATGTTTTTTTTTTCTTTAGCGCTAGTTTGGCTAATCCTGCCTTGCAATGGGCTGGCCCCCCATCCAGGGTGTCCCCCACGTCCCCTGGGATAGGCTTCAGATTACCGCGACCCTGTGTAGGATAAGCGGTAAAGAAAA